TGAAATTTTTAAACAAAATTGAAGATCATATTTTCAAATCTTAAAGATTTTTTATATTACTTAAGAAGGATCCTGTGACAAAATATATATTAATAGCTGATCCAACAGACGTTCTGATCAACAAAACTTATTAACCTATTCATCTTATTTATGCACTTAAATGTGTTTTCTATAAGCTAAAAACTGTCTTAAATATAGCACAAAAGGAAAAACTCGAGTCATTTTAACGAGTTATATTTTTTTAATACACATAAATTAATATATATGTGTAATTTTTTTTATCTTAATATTAAAAGAAATAATTTTTTTTTAAATTAACCATGTGTTAGTACAGTGAAACCTCTAAAATGGCCATATTTCAATAGCGGATCCTTCTCAATAGTGGACACTTTTAAATTCCCTGCAAAAATGTATGTGTATAATAGGAGTTATAAGTTCTATATAGTGGACCCTCCTAATTAGTGAACGTTGACACTAAAAACTGGTACTAAAATTAATAATTACTTCTAAGTTCTTATTAATGAACACAATACATGTACGTATCATTGCAAAAAGCAGAAAAAAATTACAGATATTTTAAATTGTACATAACCACTTTTAAATACATATATATTTATAYAACAAATAATAAATTAATATGTATCAAATACCGACTTGACATTTTGTACAGAGGTTCCTTAAGCAATATAGAAGAGGCGCACTAAGAAAGGATTTTTCAAAAAAAAWTTTTTACTACTTAATTTTTATTTCCACAATCTCTTACATACATTTTGAACAATAAGTGAAATTGATAAATTGGATAATTATGGCATTAAGGACGAATTAAAGATACCTTCCAGTTAAGGCACTTTTACAGTTCAAAAAAAAATAAAAATAAAAAATAAGTAAAAATGTTAAACAACAATGCTAGGAGATATTAGAAGAGGTAAGATAAATAGTAATAACAAAGTAGAAATAGAAAGAAGAACAAAGGGTATTACATTGGCCTAGACTAATAGGTCTCTACACAATCGCCTTTTCAACCTTTTTTGAGGGTTTCTGGGTATATTTATAGACGCAAATTCTTTGATTAATGGATTTTTATGGTTTTGTAGGTTCTTTGAAAGGTCTTAGCTACATCGTTGACAGAAGAGATGGCTAGGTCATTATGTAATGAATGATTTGATACGTAGATAAGGGTGCTTTGGTTAGAATGCGGAGGACTTTGGACTGGAAACGCTGGATATGGTTGAAATTTGTATGTTTTTCAAAATTCACATTTTAAAGGGTTGCTCAAACGGGGATTTTGAGATTTACGATGGAAATTTTGTTTATAAATGGTTGCTATAACAACCTGATTTATGTATTGACACATTTATCACTTTATTATTACAGTAAATATTATTGTTATTATATTATTAAATAATGCGTCTTCGTATACGCACCTCATTTTATGTACGATTCTTTRAGTGTATAAAAATTTTTTTATATCTATTAATATTGACCATGTTTTCAATGTATATTAACATTGCAYTTATTGGACATACATAAATGTGTATAACAAAATTTCGAATATCAAATGATCTAGTTTTTTTTTTTAAATTCATTAATTCTATATTGATTAGATTTTGTATCATTTATTAAATACTACGGTTTCTATAATAAAAAAATTTTATGAATTGCTTTAAAACTTACTTGTGACTTTGTTAATGGTGATGTAAGAGGATTTGGAATGATTTGATTTTGTGGTGTCATACCATATTCATGATCAAGTAAATGATATGGTGATGGTGTTAAGAAAGTTGTCATAGTTGGATCTGTAAAATAAACATATAATATGTATTTGAACAATTCACAAAATGAATCACTGAAAATCAATAAAACTAAAATTAAATTAATGCTTAAAAGTAATATTGAGAAATATTTTAATATTATCAAGTTTTTTTTTTTTTTTTTTACTCTATTAATAAATACACAATCTATACGCAATCGGCACAATAAGAGTATGAGCTAATGACAATGACACTTAAATCTTTAATTATTTTGTTTTAACCATTATCAAGTTAAAAGTTTTTTAAGAAGCTATTTAAAATTGATCTAGTAATTAAGTGCTGATCGCTGTAACAATACAATTTGTTGGTATGGTGTCTTTAACTATTATAAATATGTCAAATATATAAGTTATGCAAGTTAAATATATAAGTATCTATTAAACTAGAAATAATTACATTATTGTAACTGATTTAACTTTTTGTAACCACTTGACAATAGGTTCTCAGTRCATGGATAATGGCCACCAAAGTACTTGTGGTTCTAGTTGAATGGTTATTGGGTAAAACCTTATACTCATAGATGGAACACAGTAGTAGTTACACATGTTGACAATATGTTGTCTTATAAAGTACAGCGCCCATTCACACTGCTGACGATTCCATTGGCTTAATATATTATTGCTGTTATCATTACTTCTATTATCTAATATTAACACTAATTCTTTGCTAATTCTCTCAACTAAACTACTCTACCTCACCAATCTGACAAGTTATGTCTATTAGTATTAAGTATAATATGGGTATAACCTATAAACATGGACCGTCAACATCTGCTTGTTTCAAATAGCTTTTAAAGTTAATATTAAATGTGAAAATGCTGACAGTTGATCCCAAGCAGACCTTAGTGAGATTGTAACATTGACACAAGATTAATTAGCTTAAATACATAATAACCTAAAATTATATTTTGATTTAAGATAATAATTATTAAAAATTAACATTCAAGTATAAAATACAAAAGTAGTACTTGAAAATACTGTAATAGAGCACATATACATTGATTAATATTGAGTTTATTAAAATACTAAATTCTTTGTAATAATATAAAATGGTTATAATGAATTATTCTGTCTCCTATGATTAGCATATTATGTTAATAAAAGAGTTAAAAACAAAAAAWTTTTTTTATTTTAAAATTTGATACGATAAGAAATATTGATATGTACCTAATATATTTTCATTGGAACCTAAAGAAAGAATCAAATCAATGATTTAAAAATAAAATAAACTGTTTTCAAATAAGCAACACATTTTATTTATTAAAATAATAGATATATGAATAGGTTATGATTATATATGTAGTTCGTATTACAAAAACATAACACCTATGTATAAAACATTAAAATAAGTAYACATTAAAAATATTAACATCATTAACTTAGTTAATTACAGGATACAACTAGGAGACCGGATAAATTAAATAACTTTAATTCTAATTAATATTTTTTAGCCAATTTGTAAAYCTGGAATTTAGAAAAATTTTAATTTTTATAAAATTTATAATATTTATAGGTACCAGATTTACAAATTGGCTATTTTAAAATGTTTAAAAACAGTTTAAATCAGATAATTTTTTTTTTATTTACAATATTAAAAATATAAACAAAAAATATTAGGTAGAAAGAATAAATAAATAATATTAATTTTATTGATTAGAAAAAAATCATTTCTTCTATCATGTCTTCCTGTTTCACTTTGTATATGACTAAGAATTATTTAAGAACTAATTAAGCCTATTAGATAAACATAATTGGTAACCTGTATAAGTATGAACAGATTTTATATATACCTATATAATATATATGAATGTAGGAAAAAAAGCCAAGAAAAAAATTCCAGCAAATAATACACAGAAAAAAAGCCATGGAAAAAAATTCAAATTATAATAATTAATTAAATATATAACAATTAAAATTAAAGTATTAAATTAGGTATTATTTAAAAAATGTTTACACATTATTGGTCATATTGTATACATATATATATACAGGGTGTCCCACAGAGATCTGACAAATGAAATAACTTTTGTTCTAATCAATATTTAAAAAAAATTTCTTTTAAATATAATTCATAGGCACTTGMGCTACATTTTTAGAATACATTTTTAATTTTTAATTTTTTAATACTGAAAGTTATTTTTATCAATGTATATTATAATATTAACAATTGTGTTTTTATATATGAATACGGACAATACAATATAACCAATTGTGTTAAAAATTTTAAATTGATTAACATAATAATTATGATCTGTGTATTAATAATTATATATATATATATATATATTTGTATGACCAATGTTTAAAAATTTTGAATAATACTTTAAATTTTATTTTATTTTTATATTTAATTATAATTATTTTTTATATATTTGACTAATAACGTGTTAACAATTTTTAAATAATACCTAATTTAATACTTTAATTTTAAATGTTATATATTTAATTATTGTAATTTTACTTTTTTTTCCGTGGCTTTTTTTCTGACTACCAATACCGGGTGATTCTTTTATCATTGAACACTCATTATTTCAAAAATTATTTATGTTTTTGAAAATATTATTTTACATAGTTTCAAGTTGTTAAATAACCAACGTTTTTATTAAAAAATTATTGTTTTAAATGTTTTTTATCCTTACAATTTTTAAAGTTTTAATTTCATATTCTAAAGCAGAATGTTTTTTTAAGTATTTTGATTCATATAAATCGAATTTAGGACGAGTAGTTTATGAGTTATAAGTATTTAAAGTTTAGACAAGCGGAGTAGTRGACAAACATTTTGCAAGGTAACCCTGTACCACTCCACTATGCCAATCTAAACTTTAAATACTTATAACTAAAGACCGGATTTATATGCATTTAAAATGTTATAATATGCACTTAAGAAATTCTGAATATGCACTTAAAAATCATAAAACATGCAAAATAATTTTTGATTATTACAGCTTTTTATTTATGGTAATTTTATAAAATCAAAAATTCAAAGCATTTATGATGAAAATATGCACTTAAAAATCATAAAACATGCAAAATACTTGGAAACTTTGGCATTGTAATTTAAAAAACACAAACAATGTTATATAAAATTAATATTACGYGTTAATTAAGTTTATTTTATACTACATTGACTATTGCCGAATGTACACTTCGAACTACAGTCGTTAGTCTGTGTTCGGTAGTATAAACGATAGCCGATAACTCGATAATGTTAGATGAAGCAGATAAGATAAAAATATACAACGGGAAAATCAGTATACAATCTGCCTATTATATTTTTAAAAATATTTTCAATTTTTGTGTTTTGAACAAATTTGTGTATAATAATGGTACATACAGTTATAAAATTAAATTAAACTATTTAAATATATACGTAATATGCAAAAACATGCATTTTTATGGAAAAAATGCACTTGTACCCAAAATATGCAAAAATATGCAAAATAAAAATTTGTAACATTATTTATGATTGATGAAAATCCATTTACTGCATGTAATAGCTTATAAAGATATGAATATGCATAATATGCTAAAACCGGTCTTTACTTATAACTCATAAACTACTCGTCCTAAATTCGATTTTTATGAATCAAAATACTTAGAAAAATATTCTGCTTTGGAATATGAAATTTAAACTCTATGTGTCATTTAAAAAAATAAAAACTTAAAAAATGATAAGGATAAAAAATATTTTAAAATAAATTTTTTTAATAAAAACGATGGTTTTTGAACAACTTGAAACTATGTAGAAAAATATTTTCAAAAATAGTAATTTTTGAAATAATGAGTGTTTAATGATAAAATAATCACCCGGTATATTATATATATATATATATTTTTTTTTTATTAGCTTTTAGTATCAACTATTCAGATTTTATATAATTGGCAGTAACAACTTATGGGTAAATAGTAAGTACCTACTTAGTCAAATTTAAGTATTGCACAGTTCGGTTGTAGCATTCATCATGAACACACGTACGCCGCATCGTACATACTATACACTCCGTTATCGCCATATTCGCTCATTAGTAATTTATTACGGTCATTATTAACTATCAGTTCCAATTATATAACATTATAATAACAATTTATGATGAGTAACGTACATAAAGCCGGTTCCGCTTCACCACATACRCCAAAACCCACAAAACGAAATTTATCAACTTCGTCAATTTCGCCAAGTCAAAACGACAAAAACACCAAAATCTACGTATCACCAAATCGCTTCGACCTACTCTCCACAGATGACACCAATGACATAGCGCCCACTATGCCCTCAACCGACCTTAGGGATGTTCCTGTGAACCTGCCTCACACTGAACAAGACATGGGACCTMCAGCTCYACCTATCCACATCAAGAATATCACCAACTACTCTGCCTTCAATAAGGTACTAACTAATATCACTAACTCAAATGGCTTTACCTGTAGATCAACACCATCRTACCTGATCGTGCAACCTACAGGTCGCCAAAAYTTCAATAAAATCATAGACCACTTACATGAAACTAACGCTAGTTTCCATTCATACACCCCCTGTAACCTTCGGACATACAGGGTCGTCATCAGGAACCTGCATTTTTCCACCTTAATTAATGACATTATCAGTGCCTTGGCCGAGCTGGGACACTCAGCCAAACACATACACAACGTCAAAAATAAAAATAAACGCCCTTTACCTTTATTTTTTGTGGATATTTTAACAAAAGACAATAACAAAGACATCTTCAACATCAAGTTTCTACTCAATACTAAGGTACTGATTGAGAAACCACAYAAAAAAAGACGTGGCCCACCACAATSCCACAACTGTCAATCCTAAGGACATACACGAAATAACTGCTGCCACCAACCTAAATGCGTAAAATGTGGCGAAAACCACAATACAAACGAGTGTTCCAAAGACCGATATAGTCCCGCCAGATGTGCACTTTGCACTAAGGAACATACTGCTAACTTTAAAGGATGCCCAGTTTACAAAGCTGCTTACAAAAAAACTGTCCACCCAGTCAAGGGCTCCGATTCCAACCCCTAACAAAAGACCAAATCTTACGCWGAAGCTACCAAAAATTATCAAAATTCACACACGGAACTCAAAATCACCGACACTCTCTCAAGTTTTATATCAAATTTAAACTCACTAATCAGTCCCCTTATCTCCCTTCTTTCATCAGTCTTAAATGCACATACAGCTAATAGCACTATTATTCCATAACCTTATCCACATTAAAATTAATTAATTAACATAATATCTTATCTCCTTTCCTTTTAACATTATATTACTTAAAAATATCTATACCTATTATATAATCAACTAACACAACATTATATCATGTAAAATTAAACAATAATTGTAAAACTTGTAATAGCATGTAATATGCTGAAACATTTTATTATATTAAATTTAAAAAAAAAAGTATTGCAATAGTGCAAAAAAAATTTTAAAAATCACTCACCTAATTTAATTATTGCTGTATTTGGAGTAGAAGATCCATCTTCATCCAGATTCAACATCCTGCATGCCTTAGACATTTTATAGAATATATTGTTTCAAAAACTGTAATACAAAAAAAAAWATTAAGTTATGTTATTAAAAATAAATTTAAAAAATATTTTTCATAAAAAAATACAAGTAAGTTTTCATGCGAAATTCAATTCATTATTTTATACTTCACATCCAAGTTTATCTTAATTTGTAGAATTTTTAAAACAATGTTAAATAAATTGTAAACTAATATTTAAAAGTTAATATTTGAGTAATGATGTGTAAAAAAAATTAAATTCCTAACATTATATTTGAAATATTTATACCTATTTTATTTTATGTATACATTATTTTGTAAAGTAATGCTGGGTCTGAACTCAAACAACATACTTATAGTAGGGACACAATAAGGACATATTTACAATTGTTGAAAATACAGGATAAAATAATCTCCCCTCATGTTTGTTTTAATAACATATCAAAATAGGTGTAAGTACCTAATTGATATTTGAGACTATTTTTATTACTGGGATTGATCAAGTAAAATTCYGAAGGTAATTGAAAATGGGTTTAGACCTAGTGTTTATGAAAAAAAAAATGATGAATAGACTTTTTAATCTCATTTAGATTAACTTTTAATACATTTTCCATTCTATTAAGATTAAAATAAATATTGTTATTATGTTATTGGAATAAAATTTATATTGAAATTAAATAGATATAGATATCAAGATATATATCTAATATATTCTTTTCAGAAATGGCTTGATAAAAAATATAGACCTAAAGGTATTTACTCTAATTAAAAATACAGGATTATTAACATTTTAACTGTTTTAGTAGTCAACTAAAATCTATTAAATCTAAAAGGAACCTTCTACACATGGAAGGAATAACAGTAGTTAGTTATACTTATTGAGTATTGAGTATTTAAATGTTAATAGATATTAACAAGATATTAATTGATTAATGTTTTACTTCTTGAATAAATATAGCTAGATGGCTGCTGTCACTAAAGGGTATCGCGTGGTATCTTTGCTACCATAGGCGTAAATTGAGGGGGGGGGCTAAGGGGGCTTAGCCCCCCTAAAAAATAGTATAGCCTTGTTATAAATTTCTAATGTTATAAATTATAAATTATAATCTTAGCGTTAGCCCCCCCTTCTAGCAAGTCAAATTTACGCCTATGTTTGCTTGCTACCCTAGAAATGTTTTGGGGTAGCAAGAAGTCTTAGATTTTAAAAATATAATATTCAATGTTTATTATTCAACTGTCTACGAACATAGACTATTTATTAATGTGATTGTGACCAAATTATAATATTTTATGATAAGTTCAATACAGACGATTAGACAGTGTATATATCATTATTCATATATATATATGCATTTTTATCATACAACATAATTAAACCTACAAAAAATTATTTTTTCACTTTCTAGAAATAAACTTTGCTACCCCAGAATTTGGACTCTATGCCCATGCCTGCAGCAACAATTTATTCTTTAATATTAAATTATGCAGATAGGTATCTTAAAGATTTATAAATATAAAATAATTAAAATTTTAATTGTTAGAGAATAATATAGGTAATTTGGTAACTTTTTTTAATATACAATTTAGTTTGAGAGATAAGTAGTTGATTGTTTAATAGTTACAGGTACCTACCTAAGTTCCTAGTTAAGATTCTTTAATATATGTAATCATTTTTTTGGTAATCATCAAAAACAAAGGGAGGAGCCGATTTATTGACATGTCTAGATTATCACTTGACCATGTTATMGACATAGCTCTAYTGCAAGTACAGGCTTAGGAAATTTAAAAATAAATATTTAATATTCTAAACAACTAAAACTGTTCAAATTCAATGAGAGAATTATGACATGCAAATATCAATTAAAAATACCTAGGAAACTTTATTATTTATTTCTACCACAAGTTCAACAGCAAGTTTACAAATACAAATAAATGAAATTCAAACATGTCATACACCGAACAGTAGTTTAAAATACACCGTATAAAATGTCTAGACAAAATCGAATAACAGAGCACAACTAATAAACAAACACATTGATCATCTAGTTGATGTGTTGAAAATGAAAGGGTTATATATGGGAGCCAGACATAAGGACGCGATCAGTAGTGACCAGTTGAAAAATTTGTCGAATTGTCGATGTTGACATTGGTGCACGGATAGTAACGGAAACATTACCGACTCGACGGATGAGGCGTTTAGTCTTCAGTGGACCCAAACACCACTGCTGCCCCTAAGGGTGTTTTGCAAAGTGACGGACCACTACAGTCGATTAGCGTGGAGATGGTGACTTGCGGCCGCGACGGACACCGAGCACATTTCATTTGACGAACGGAGTGTGGCAAGGCGAAGAGACGGTGCGATTTCAAAAGTCCCGGAAACAAAGGGGATACAGAGCCAGAGACGCTATAACGGCGGCGCGGAGATACACGGATATAGAGGTTATGTTTTGGATGGCGCGCGCGCGACCGTACCAACGCACGAAACGCCGCGAACCGCCTGGTGCGCGCGACGGACCGATGGGTAGGCGGACGGGAGGGACGGTGGAACTTTGGTCAGAAAACGCGAAAACCGACAATGGGTCGGCGCCGAACGCGCAAGACTTTTCGAAACAACGGCTCAACGTTCGGTCGTCTGCGGGAGGGGGGTGGTGTCGGCTGCTGTCCAGATGCCGGAGGCGCGGTGTCCGTTGCGCGGGAGTCTGCGGGACACCACTCGGCAGTTGTTACACTTACCCCGCGAAATCGGTGGCGGCGACGAAACGCCGGTTAGTGGTCGGTCGCGGTGGCGTTGACGGTGCAGCCATCGTGTCCCATGTCGTCGGTGCCGAAAGAATTAGCTCGGCGGGCACACGGCTCTGAACAGTGGACGGGTTACGAGTACAGGTTACGGAACGTGAGACGCGAGTGTCCAGTCGGCGATAAACAACACTGAACAACCGAATCACAAAACACACGTACACACACACACACACACATACATACACACTCACACACATGCACACACGCGCGCGCGATGATTATGTGGCGGCGGTCGCAAATACGACGACGCGTATGCGGATAATACGTTACACTGCGGCATAGGAAAAGTCGTAGCTACTCCTGACAAGCAAACGCACCGGAACGACGACGGTTCTACTCGGTTGTTGAATTATTTCGTTCTTTTGAGATTCTCTGGTTGACACGGGGTTTTCGTAACGCGCGGCGGAGCCTTTGTTTACGCGGACCGACTGTGCTGGCGGCGTGGTGGAGAGGGTGTCGCGCGGCGGGGAATCGAAGCGGTCCGTGTGCGTGTGCCGGCGGTGGCGGGGTACCGCCAATCGGGTGGCTGCTGCCGTGTGCCGTTGCCGTTGTCCGTCCAATGGCGGCCCGGTTGCGCGGCGGCAATCTGTGTTCAAACAGTTTCCCGCTCATCGAGAACAGCTGTTGGACTCGACCCCGGAACCCCGCCGCGTCGACCGGCTTTCCCCACTACCGGACGCAGACCGCCGCCGCAGCAGGATGCGCGCCAAAAATCGGATTCCTCCGCGTGCTGCAACACAACACACGGACACAGGGCAGGAGCGCGCATGCGTTCTCGACGCGTTTTATGCATATTACCTATACTTGTGTGGGTGCCCGCGGGAACTGTAGAAGTATTAAAGACTTAAAGTAGTGCCGTGCGCTGTACTGCTGTACGGTTCACTTCTTCGCATTATTACTGTGAATTTGCAAGTTAAGTAAAGTTATGTATAGTGTGTTCGTGTGAGCAATGTGTATACCTACTATAAATACTTGTGTGGCGAGCACTTTAGTGAGCTGTGATGCTATGAAGACATGAAGTTTAACGCTCAGGCGCAAAATGTCCATCGACTTTGGACAGTGACGCTGACCATTAATCACTTTTAAATTTCTATTATTCAATAATATGAATCTGTTTTTATTTTCAGCATGTCATTGAAACTTATTGTACCCACTTCATTAACATGCACACTTGGCTTGATGAATTTTGATTAAAATATTTTAAGTTTGTATATATTGTATGAGTTAAAATTCATTAATTATTATTAAAAGTATAGTTTGGCCAAAAAAAAATAGGTATATATCTAGTTTACCTGGCACAACCTTTTTAAGTCATTGGTACAAACGAAAATTAGTGCAGACTGCAGATCATAGATGTATGACGATCACGGATCRAAGGCAGTATTCTATTCTTGTCGAATCATATAGATTAGATTACTCATTACGAACTGCTCCTGAAGAGGGACTCCCAAACAAGAGGTCATAGAACCCCGAATTTTGTGATCGGAGCCGGCAGGCAATAAATATAAATTTTTAAAAGGTGCCTGATTTACACTAGAAAAAAAAAAAAAAATTATGACGTAGGTATTTTAATAAACGCACAATATGTTCTCATAATTTGTATTTTGAAAATAAACGTATGATAATATACCTAATATATTAATAAATTATACTCCATTTTACAAAAAAAGGAAAAAAGGCATCACACTAAATATTTTCATATATAATCGAGAATTCGAGCTGTTATTTAGGATTAAACACTGTGCCATAATTTACTACTATCGCTATAATATTGTGCTTACTAATTGCAACCCAAAATCCAAAATATTATATTTCATATTAAATTCCTATTCTATAATCCTTTTTACATTAAAAAATTTTAAACGCGATGTTTAACTTGTTAAATCAGAGTTCTTTGAAAGTCATATGCTTGTGCATCTAAAAAAAACTTCATATGATTGACTATCAGGAMTACTATTATTTCTAACCAATATATAATAATATATTAATTATATCTTAAACTTTATATATTTACAAAAGCTCTGGTAGAAATATAAATTGGGGGTGGGGAGGGGTTTTTGTTTTTACAAGTAGCAATAGCGTTTCAAATTTGGAGAGCCACATAGTAATTAATAATACGAGTACATATATAGACAATGAACAGAATCAATTGTATGCGGTCATAATAAAACACTCATAGTTCAATAATTGTATTGTATAATTTTGCTCCAAACTTCTGAAGAATGTTTTTGGAGGGTTTTTAAAAATGTTTATGAACAAGGGTCAAACCAGAACATAAGAAACTTCTATAGATCCATGATTAACTGATAAGTAATGTCGTAAAGATAACAACAATATAACAGACAGACATTAAATATGGTGGGATACAAAATATGTAAAATTAGGTAATATCAATAAAAAATCAAATAAACAAATAAAGCATTACCCTAGAAAAAAACTCCATACATAACATGGATTTATTTCATTGTTCACTTACAATGATCTCTCTTCATATTATATTCATTAATTTTCAATTTTTATGTCTTTTTTTTCTCTTTAAATTATGTTATGTACAGTTTACACACAACTTGATTTTTATTTATGTATTTTTTTTCTCTCATTTTCCCCTAAGTACTAAAGTAACTCCCTTATATATTTATCTAAAATGTAATTATAATTTATTCCGTAATAAACAACAATAAACAATTAACTATTCTGAATAATTCAGACTGAGATGGTGTAGTATGGTGTGTCGACGTTTCATGTAATCATGTGGTTAGTATAAGTTATTTTTAATAACGCCTACCTAATGGTAAGCGAGGTAGGTACTAGCTAAAACATCTTCATAAAAGTATGAAAAATTATAATATAATATTCTGTAGTATATGTACGCATTTATTGTACATCATTCATATTTTAAGTACCTACTAATGTATCCCGAGCAAAATGTAGCTTAAATAAAAATACAAAATATTATAAAATTATAAATCTAATATACTAATATACTGTACTTCCATAATAATAATATTTAATAATCAACATTATATTAGGTTTAGCCTTTTAGGTATAACTATGAATAAAAGGATTGACAAGAATATATTATAAGCTAATGAAGTCATGTCTTCTGTTGCGCGGGAAACCAGGCAGGGTATCCACCATTAGCAATTCAATATTTCTTAATTTTTATTATTTCAAWATACTTTCCATGAACTATAAGGATTGTAGAATACGCATTTAAGACCATATAACCATTATAATATACTGTTAAAACTTAAAACTAAGACCTGAAGAACAATAATATTAAATTTATATCGAATAAACGTAGTTCTGAGCCAGCTTATAGTAAKCAAACACGTATAAAATAATATAATGATAATTTATTTGATGTTTTCACTTGAAAACTATATAGGTATAGTATGTAATTTAAATCACTTATAAATTATAAATGGATAAAAAAATATACGGGCGTTATTAGAAGAAAAAACTAGGTAGTCCCGATCTTGTAAGTACTCGTACAGTTATAACTTGGTACCAGTTACTTGGTACTTACCTTATTTTAACCATGTTATAGACTACAAGATCCATAGCAGCAGCTGCTGTTGCTGTAAWGATTAGTGGCGCGCATTTCAAAATCTGCAAGTGGTGTAGATATTATGATTTTTTCAGTGAGGGATCTTTATTTTATATATTACTTATATGTTAATACTAAAYAATAAAAACTAACTAAAATATCATATTGTCACTGAATACTTATATAGGTATCAAGTATAAATAATGACTAAATTTGGGTAAAATATTTCTCAGTCTTTCYACACTTGGTTTATATCAATCTATATATATTTTATTTAKTTTTGATAGCCACAAGTTTAAATGATTTTTAATTTTAAAAGTTTTCGTTTAAARTAAATGTTATATTTTTTTTTAGRATATTAATAATAATAAAGTAATCACATRTGCATTTGAAACATGGTCCTCAACGAAAGGCGATGACAACAGATTGGCAATATTCGAACAAAAAGTGTTTAGAAACATTTTTGGCCCAATATACTCGTATAATACAAAGTTAGGAATTTTTGAGAGAAGAAAGAATGAAGATCTATACAGACTATTTTTAAAACCCAATATTACGACGTATATAAAAATTAAGATAATGGAATTGTTTGGACATGTATTTGGAGAGCTGATAGTGACATAATAAAAAAAGTACTAACGGAAACCATAAAAAAAAAGACCAATAGGCAGACTATGAACGAGGTGGAAAGATGCGGTAGAGAAAGATATCAAGATGGTGGGAAGAAATATGCCAGTTGACCTTGGCTTTGGACAGGGAAAGATGGAGAGATTTCTTGTGGCAGCTCAGGTCCTACAGGGACCGTTAAGCTAAA